AAGAAATATTGATAAATAGGTTAAAAATACGTTTATGGCTCAGGGGATAAAGCGTTCGCCTTCCAATGAGGTGATCGGGTTCTAATCTCAGCGATGGCTGGTCAATACGAATTCCAGCTTGCACCGACCACAGTGCTGGCGTAAAATATTTTCAGTGGTAGACGAATCATCGGTTAAAGTCCCCTTGCCATCAGACTAACAGTGAGTGGTTTTCGTGGTTCTCCTCTCCATGTAACGGAAATGCGGGTTAGTTTCATCAGAAAGCCCTCGACGAAGACACATTTCTCCCAGCACTTGATCCAGGAGTTTCCTTGTCTTCCGGATTGGGTTTAAAATGACGAGTTGAGCAGGAGCAGTCGTAAACACTGGGTTTGCTGTTCAACGACGGTTATAAAAAATACGTTGATAAATTCGCCAGCAATTTGTACAACTGTAAAAATGAGGAAAAAATATTTAATTTTCAACTGCATCGTCATACATTATGTTGCTTTTAAAATTTCTAAATTTTGTTAGTGAATGATCGAGAATTTCTATTTTCTTTTATCTTTCATTCCCCTATTCATTTAACCAAATGAACGAAAATTGATTGTATTTAGAAAATAAATCTTTGTAATTAGAATATTCTTTAAAAGTACTGGGTGAAATTTCATGAGTGCAATAAATGAAAAACAAATCTAAATAAAATGTTTGCCCATTAAATTGTTAATAAGCGAAAACTTTTCAGTTATGGTTTCCAACTTATGCACTTATGATTAGACAGATAAAATAAAACAGATTATCCTGTCTAATCTGTCTGTTTTACTCCCGATATTCAACGCATCATTAACAAAAGCAGTCAATCAACCATTTTGTCTCCCTTTCAAAAAAAGGAACAGCTGTGATATCGGATTAAAAGGTCAACAAACCGTTACTTGAATAGTGGTTGACTAACTAACGGATGTGTGTCAAGTTAATAGGAGGGAAACAAATACTTCCTTTCCATTTAAGGGGCAATTAATAATGTTTGATTGTAAGAAAAAAAAATGTATACAAGTCATTCGGAAGAAAATAAAAATTTATTTTTTTTAAAAAATTTTAATCGTTGTGAAATTTTTTAGTTAATTTCACAAATGTTTATCATAATATTGAAGCCACTGATGCTTAATTAATTTTGGTACTAATTGGGTACTTACAACTCGAGAAGAAGTGAAGTGATTATGCCAAACTACGTGATTTAAATCAGATTTCGTTGGATACTTATTTCTATTAGGAGGACCGTAAGAAGTACTAGACATTTGACACAACTTTATTCAGTATTATAGAAAACTAAAAACTATTCATATATATAGTTTTGGAAATCAATATATTTAACTAGTTTCTTAAGCTGAAATAACTGTCTATAGCACGGCAAGCTGAATAACTGTTTTCTGTTGAATTTTTATTAGGGAAACTTTGGTAAAATTACATGAGATTGATTGTCCAAAAAAAATTTGTTATGAATGAAACTCAGAGATAACTATAAAAGAATGCGATATATGTGTATTACTCTCATGTTGTTGTAGGCCATTTAGGCATTTGCGGTGCGATTATTCTTGTTTTTCAGAGGCTCCATCTATGGCCAATAATTTGACTTTTGACACACCCATACGTCACATCCATTTATACGGCGGATCCATTCATACATCCATTCATTCAATCACAGATCGTAATTTTGATCTTAACGATCAATATCCAGTCCAGTACCCCCAGAGGTGTAATTTGTCATGGGAACATGGAGGACTTTGTGAACCGACAGATTAAATGTGCACCAGCCACCATTTACAGCATGGGGAGTCTTCGGCCGGCAGGATTCGAACTCACATTTCCTCGAACGTGAGAAGTACCGGATATTACGACCAAATAAATAATAAATATATAGCGATGATTAATTACAAAAGAGAAAAAATTGTGATCACACATTACGATCACAGGTTACCATATTTATCAAATCATTTTTTTAACGCTTTAACATTTGTCTTTTTGTCGCCAATTGGCTGAGATTAGTTTACGATTCCAACCAATGCAGAGAAGATGCCACAAAATTCTTTTCCTTCTTCATTATTTAAGTGCTTATTAAAATTACCGGCATATGAATAGACAGTCCTTATGAATAAGTTGCTCATAAAAAGAGCATAAAAATTCGGTAAATTATAATTGTATGTATAAACAATCGAAATGAACTTTGGTGAAAATAAAAAATAAAATAAAATTAATAAGTCTCTCTCGAACTCCCGTTCGTTGGTGTCCTCCCGAACGAGGGTCCAGCGCCCTGCCAACCTGGATATCCCAGGATATTTATATTTTAATTTATAAGTCTCTGGAAACAGTATTAAGTAATTTTTTAACTTTCATCTGTTCTTGTTCTGTTAAGCCTGGTTCGAATTCGTTGTAATATTCTCTCTGCTACGTGTATGTTTAATTTAAAACTCAATTTACTTTAAGAGTCTTTGCAATTTAAATTACGGATTGTCTCGTAAAAATAACTTTATTGATTCTTATGTATTCTCTATTGTAATTGAAAGTGTTACTTAAATATAAACATGACTTTTGTTTGCGACTAATTTACACCAAATAGTGTAAAAGAACACAGGGAACTATCCTTGTAGTTTGGGAACACCATTTTCGGTGATCAGATATACAGTGCGCTAATTTTTCTTTTAGAAATGAGTATGTACAATGATATGTTTTTATAATTTAGGTTTGTAGGCTTAGCATTTTATAGAAATATAGTGGACAACAGTTGCAAACAGTGCATAATGTTTTTCATTCCAACACTACATGACTAATTTAAATATCATTAAAAATAAATTTCCTACAGTAAATAAAATCAACTGTTAAAACTGACACGATTGTTTTAACAAATTCTGATAGATAAAATTTTTGGTAGTTCTTATTTAAAAAAAAAAAAACTTTTTATTTTTTATATAGTTCAACTAAAATCTGACTTGGATTATTCGTTTTCAGTTAAAGTTGATTGATCAATAATAAACATGTAGGAATAAAGTCGGGCATCGATGACCTCAAGTTTTAGTAGAAAGCGTGTATTTTACCCAATAAATTTAATTTCTATCCAGTCAGGTTTAAAGTTCTATTATCATCAGGTCAACCATGCGAAGTTGAAGAGATTTTTAATTGTGTTAGTTTCATAGATAACATTTTGCATGGGAGCAAGTTGCCCCCATGTTTGTAATTACTTTTTCTTTCGGTGGTTGAATTGAATCGTAACAATTAAGGAAATCAAAACATTATTTTTCTGTTCAACATTGGTAAATAAGGTAAAATTTCTTTCCGAATATTAAAAATCTTATAAGAGATTGTTTTAAGTTAAATTACGTTTATAGTTTTATACCTATGTACTATAAAAATTAAACCTTGGTAGTTAAAATATGTTTCATTTAATATACCGTCATTTTTTAAATTTCCTTCGTTTGCCAGAAACTGCATTCGTAAATGCTAAAGAAAATTTACTTACATAAATATTATATCAACTATGAGCAGAAAAGTCAACGTCATAATTTTTTTTCATTTTAATCATTCTACATTCTAAAAGTTAACCCAAATTTCTTTAAGAAACTCGTTTTTATTCTTATTAACACAGAATAAGTTTCCTTACAGCTATATCTTGTAAAATAACTATTGAAAATTTATCCGGCGATGTAATAAATCAAAATTTTACCGGATACCCGGAACTGGCTGGGTAGCAAATATAATTTTTACCTTCACTCGAACCGGGCAGAATTTTAGGTACCGATGTATCTTATTTTAGTTTATAGCGTTGTTAAAGAATTAGAAGACAGTAAAACCAAGTAAATGAGTATTAACTTTTAAAAGTGAAATTCGTCTTTAAAATTACCTTGCACGTTTAATAGGTCATTAAAATGGACTTTTGATTGGCAACCGGTTTTGTTTAACTTCTTTTATGTATAGACGGAAGAGTAATACTTTTTCCGTCTTAATATTGAGACCCAGAAGTTGAGCCTTAACAGATCTAATTCTTAAATATGAGTAGTCAAAAATATAATTTATGCATGTTTAGGATCCGTTGTTGACGCCCAACATCTCAACTTCAACATATATGTTATAGGTCTTGGAAAGGAGATAACTCTTTCGAGTTGTCACCCAAACAATTATTGATACCCATGATTGATAAATATAAATTGTAATATCACGATGCATTGTTAAAAGAATATGCACATTTAACAATACATATTGTGACATTTTCCATATTAAGCTATTTTATAATATTTTTGCATTATCATCCAAATAAAATTTTCAATAATATCGTAATTAGAAATTATCACTAAGTATAATATTTGATGCAGCCTGAGTAAATCAGAATCTTGCGTTGGTGAATTTGGCTTCCCTATAACCAACAAGTACTAATAAAAACAAAGTGGTCGCTGTTGTTGCGGAAACATATGAGACTCCGAATGAACCATGAAGTAGACATTCATTAATAACAATGTGGATTGTTTAAAAAGTTGATGAAATGAAAGAGATTAATTGAAAAAATGTACATTTAAAAATAAAATTTAATAAAAACTTTCATTAAACGGCAAAAATGGAAGAATAATTTCAAAATAATAAGCAACAAATTTTTCTGTAAAAATAATGATGGTCTTGAGGTTTTTAACAAAAGATGAGCATGATTCTCAGTTCTTGGCTAGCGTCGCTGGAGCATACCATGACGGTCATCTTTCTGCTGCTTCCTTTTTGAAGGGAAAAATATAGAAACAAGTCCAGATTTCTCAAAAGAAATGATTTTTAATTCAGTGCCGCGAAACCTATTAAAAAGGTCTTTTTTATACATCAAAATTCTGTGTTTCACTTAGTTCCATTTCCTCTCAAATAAGTTGTCACAGTAGCTTGTATAAGTCATCGCACTTGTGCCACCATAATGAAAATAAAATTAGCTACACAAAAATGTTGAGCAACAAATTCTCTTTAAGTACCTTTATCTAACTAATATTATTTATTTTCAGATATTTAACTCCTCAAGATAAATAAAATCATGTTCTCAAACAGAAGCACAACGGAAGGAAGTGAACTGCCATTGAGGTTCGAATTCGACCTGTCAGAAAATGCCACCGATTCCTTACCAGAATTCGAACTCCCCACCAAAAGAAATGGAACAGGCGATGACGACACCTACCTCTTCTACGGCAACGCTTTCGTGGTGCCGATGGCCATGATGATGGTGATTATCATCATCCTGGCTGTGGGTGGAAATGTGATGGTGATACTGACTATCGTGAGACACAGGGGCATGCGCACAAGGACTAACATGTTCATCGTGAACCTGGCTGTGGCAGATATATTAGTAGCTGTGTTGGACATGCCCGTCTCTCTGACCACCATCATCGAGGGTAAGTGGGTGTTCGGGGAACCCCTCTGCAAACTGAATGGATTCACGATGGCACTGTTCCTCATTTGTTCCATACACACTCTGATGTACATTTCTGTGCACAAATTCATTTCCATCACGAGGCCGTTCTCCAGGTAAACAATTATCTTTATTTGTTAAAACTATTTTTTGAAGCTCAGTAGCTAGATAAATACATGTTGTTGTCGTCTGCCATTTGGGCATTGAGGGTGCGATCGTTCTTGTTTTCCAGCGGCGCCATCTATGGGCAAGAATTTGACTTTTACCACACCCATACGTCACACCCGTTTATAGGACGGACCCATTCATATATCCATTTACAGTTCGTAATTTTGACCTTAACGATCCATCTTCGATCCAGTACCCCCAGAGGTATACTTTGTTATTGAAACATGGAGGACTTTGCGACCCGACAGATGTAACGTGCGCCATTCACCACGTACTATACGAGGAGGCTTCGGCCGGCTGGACTCTCTAACGTGAGTCCAGCTCCCTGCCAACCAGGCTATCCTCGTCAAATAAATATACAATGGCCATTCATTACAGAAGAGAGAAAATTGTGATAGTATCATTGCGATGACTGGTTACCCTATTCATCTAATCAATTTTTTAACGCTATAACATTTGTACTTATGTCCCCCATTGGGCTGGGATTGATGTACAATTCCAACCCATGTAGACATCACAAAATTCTTTTTCTTCATAATTATTCAGATTTTTGTTAAAATCGCCTGCCAAGACAATCATTATGAATTAGTTGCTCATAAACAGAACATAAAATTACTTTAAATTATAAGAGGATGTATAAATGCAATCTGGTGAAAAGAAAAAAACTCAGTTTGGAAAACAATCAGCACCAAAAAGATTTAAAATGATGCTCTGTTTTTTTTATTTAATCTTTTTTACGAAAGTTTGTGTTAGTCTGATTTCTAATAACTCTTTATTTGCAATGACGTTGTTGAAGTCGATTGAGTCGAAAGGCGGGTAGACATGAAAATCTATAACAACACCCATTTTCCAATGGGTCATATATTGATTTCGCTGTTAACGTGCCATAGAGCTACGCTATTGAGCTATGGGTGACGGTGTGGGATTCATTCTTAATGATGAACCGATAACAATGCGCATCACCCTCTTTTTGATTTGATATGCAGGTGACGGTCACCCGGCCTCTACACCATGTTCCTCAACTTCTCAATCGTGTTTATGACTTTTAAAGATCTGAAATCCAATACATTAGAATGGATTCCGAACCACAAAGATCCGATCTGAGAAAATCGGGTCCAATCAGGAAGGTAGGGATTAGCGTGAGGAAATAAACCTATGTGTAGTTAAGTTATAGCCTATGCATTGTTAAAATAGTGTTAAACTATTTCACTACTAGAAAATCGATCCTTCTCCTGTCATCATTCTCTACATTTGCAAAGAAAAGAGGAAAAATTATTTTTTTAAATATTTCTTGAAAGCAGCAACTTTTGATCTTTTTATATGACATATGTTATGAGAGCAGAATTGAGGTACACTCGATTCGATTAAAATTCTCTTCATCTAATTCATTTGACACCTGTATTTAGCACAACTGGGTTTAAGAAAAAAAATCTACTTATTTAGGTATTCATATAAATCAAAAATTTATTCAGATCGATTGTGCATATAACAACTCCTCATGTATTGTTGCTTTTCTGTGCATCGCGAGACCTTCAAGGATGTTTCTTATCAGGTGACGGGGAAGTGTTAGGGAGTGCAATAATTGGAACTCGCTGAGGACGCGGCGTATTCGGTATCCTATAAAATAGCTTAAATATCTCTGTAATTAGGAGAAAGATAGTCATTTCTCTGCAGTTAAATCTAAAATTTTATATATATATATATATTTATATATACCAAACTTTTTCATATCGTTTTTTTGTATTGAAAAATAAACTTTTTGAAGCTTAATTAAATATTAATGTAAATATTATTGTTATGTTATCCTTGTAAATGTTATTATGGAATATTTAATCATTTCTATATCATTGTATTTATTCTAAAAGCAATTTTGCGGAGTGAAACATCTTGAATCCCCTTTGAATGAAGGAAGAGCGACATAAATTCTTATTCAGTAGTTCATTCATATAACTTACTTTGCAAAGGATACAATAAATGCATACTTTTCTTGCTTGAAATTTCTAACTAAAGTAAAGCATTACTTTCTTTGGTCAAGTCAATACTTCCGGTATTTTTCTGCATTCATAATAAATGAATAGTGAGCCAAAATAAATAAATAAATAAAGAAGGAACAACCTTATTTAAATTTTGATCTAATGATCAGATCTTTACGTTCTAGGACTCATTCTTAATGGCACAAAGGGATGACACCAAAATATACTAGTTAATTAGTGCAGACGATATTTTAAGTTACGAAATCAGACACAAAAACGTACTTTCTCTGAATCCCCAAATATAGGGCGTAGTTGGGAAATAGGGTTCCAATAGTTTGGTCAGGAAAGCACTCCAAAGTTTGAACCCCTTAATGTTTATTTTACTTTTTGCGTATTTCGTTATATCACGAGTATTTTTGAAGTAAAATGAAAAAATTTTGCACTCAATTATAAAATTCCTTTATCCAAAGATAATTCCCTGCAAAGAATAATTTTTAGTAAATGTTTATTATCTTTTATTTTATTTGATTATAGTAGAAATAATTTTCAATTGTAAGGTATACAAATTTTTGCATCATTTTAAAGAATATAATTTTACGTGGCAAAAAAAATTCAGAAAAAATCGATCGGATAGTTCCTGAGAAATCAAATTTTTTGTGATCTGACATTTTTGAAATTCAATTTCTCAGGATATAATCTACTGATTTTGCTCAAATTTTGCATTTTTCCAAGTAAAATTATATTCTCTAAAATGATGCAAAAATTTGTACACCTTGCAATTCAGCATTTTTTCTACACAAAATAATAAAAAATAAAGACTTACTAAAAATGATTCTTTGCATGGAATTATCTTTGGATAAACGAATTTTATAATTGAGTGCAAAATTTCTTCATTTTACTTCTTAAGTTCTCGCCAGTGCGTTTTTCTGTCGTATTTCGTAACTTAAAATATCGTCTACACTCATTAACGAGCCTGTTTGTGGTCACCCCCTTTCAGTCATTAAGAATGAGTTCTAGAACGTGAATGATCTTTAGATCAGAAGTTATTCAAGTTAATCCGTTTTATTGCCTCACTGTACATAACGTTTATTTTCGTCTTGAATATGAGAGTCGCTCTATCAAGCCTCGATTTTAAACTATTTCTACATTTTTGAAACCTTCCTGTGAAATTATAAGAGCGTAAAATGACGGTTTTTTCATGACGCGTCATTTTAACTTCAAAGACCGTCTGTTCTCCTCGATTCATTCTTGTATATCGTGATCTAGTTTCTATCTTTTGTTATTAAAAATCTAGACTTAGGATGTCGGTCATTGTATGAGAGCAATACGCGGCGCAGGATGTCGTGCATGTAGGAAATGTTTTTATTTAAAAAAAAATTTTTTTTTTTCTTTTACAAAAGATTCGATGGAAAGGTAGATCACCGACACTGAAATAAATTTCGAAAAATCATTATTATTATTATAAATTTTTTTTTTGTGGAATTTGACAAGATTTATTGGCGGGAGGAAATTTCCGAAGCCAACTGAATGAGGAGTTCAATCGTTGGAGGGAACAAAAAACATTTTATGTCAAAATTTGGAAATTCTCTCCCCCCCCCCCCGCAGTAGCATTTTTAAGAACGGCCACTTTCAAAAACATTTGACCGCTTTTTTTAAAAATTGGAAGTTCGAAACTATTAAAGAAAATTGTTGTTATTATGAATGAAGGGCAATCCTTTTGAAGCATTTATCAAAATAGAGTAAACACTGCTGAGCTTATTTTGAAGAAAAATTTCCTGGCCTCTCAAAATAGGTTCACTTAAAATTTAAGTATTGCATATAACGTTTACAACCCATAAAATATAGAACTTGAGTTTTTGAGTGAACGTAAAGCTCGTGTTCATGAACAGACATAAAATGTATGAGTTACAAAATAAGTCTGAAATAATTGTTATCAAAATGTTGAAATGTGATATGAATTGGAATATTTTTTAAATAGTATCGGTCATAAATTGAAACTAAGAAAGTAACGTGAAATGAAACCTTTGATAACCAAATTTCGGAACTCTTTTAAATCAACATAAAATGTTGCGAGGATGATGACGGCTTTCCCGTTGTCATAAATAATGCGAAAAGCATATTGTTTGGAATACATGGGGGGTCATTTTTTAGTCACCCTGTGGACGGCCCTTTTAATTTCATCTTCTTTCTAGAAGAGATTCATGCTTAACCATAATCGAGTTTTCATTATATTTTATAACCAGCGTTGAAAAGTTTACCCAATTCTGAGTTTATGACTACCCATGGTCCACTACGTGACCTTGTCATTTTGAACCCAACCCAGAACACAAGGAAACTCCTGGATCTAGTATTGGAACAAACTAACCTTTGTAAGAGACTATTTGATGAAACCAACCCGCATTTGCATTATATGGAAAGAAAAACTTCGAAAAACTCCCACGGTTCACCCGATGGCAAGGGAATTCTAACCTATGATCCGTCAACCACTGAGGATATTTTACGTCAACCCGGCTGTCAGTGCGAGCCGAGAGCGGAATTTGTATTAATCAGCCACCTCTGGGAATCGAACCTGGAACACATCGAGGTGAAGGCTCTATTTTCTAAGCCCCCGCGACTTCTTATAATTTTATTTGTTGTGAACGTAATTTCCTCCCAAATAAAAAATATCTTGAAAAAAAGATGAGCAAAAGCATATTTTCCCAGTGTGGGCGCTATCAACCCCCCCCCCCAATGGANCCCCCCAATGGACATTGGAGACTTTTTGGGAGAGGGGAGAGATATTGTGACTTTCTAAAGGAAGTGTAAAAACTTACAATTCGAAGAAATTTTTTAAATATGAGGCATAATTTAAAATTAATAATTTTATTTTGTAAAGGAAAACCAACGCATATTTTATCCTGCATAAATTATGTACCTGTTATTAAGGCAGTTATTAATTCAGCAATGCATTGGGGAAAAAAGGTAACCACAAAATTTTAGATTGAAAGTAACACCTTGTTGTTTTACACAAAAAAATTCGTTATGAATTTTCAACCAATTTGTTCGATATTTTTTTCATTCATCGTGAACATAATGTGATAAGAGTTTTTAAATTTATTTGTTCAAGAATTATCTACTTAAAAGGGCGCTCGTCAACAGTTTATACTAAATCCTTGAAATTTACTATTAATCGTATCGTTTCATTAGTCTACTATTAATCTTAGTTTTTTATCTAATAATAATAAACACTTGTCCAGATATGAATGCTTCATTTTTTTCTTCTTCTTTCACCCCTTTCACGTGAATCAATTCAAAATAGGGGTTAAATCTCACTTCTTAAGAGGGATCAGTTATTGGACCTATATCAAACATTTTAAAACAATTTTCCCCCATTCCTTAGTTATTCACGAATTGAGTTTTTCTAAAAAATTAAAACAGGAACTGATTTATTGGCTGAGCAGATTCATTAAAATAAATAATTAATGACTAGAGTAGCTCAGAAATGAGAGTAATCGCTTTTACATAAATGGTCACGGGTCAAATCTTAAACATCGCGTATATTTTTTTATCTTTTTTCAATAATCATATAGTTAAAGGTAGAATATCAGCAACAATAATAGAATATCAGCAGCATTTTTTTGAATTAGATTTGCCTTTTGTCGAAAAAGGAGGTGAAGAATTTTGTGGTTTTCCTCTCACGCAACTCTATTCGGTTTTTTTCTTCTCCCTTTTCTGGCGAAACATATTTCTTATTAAAGCTGTATTAGAATATTATAAAGATTTCAAAAACATAATATTTTAATCCAAACCCCCCACCCCAGAGATAAAAAAATTTCATTCAAAAATCGTTCTATCGTAAGATAATAAATTTGTAAGTAATCGGTTATTGACTCAAAATGTAAGTATGTAAGACACTGAATATGTTCGAGACATCTTATTCAGTTTGAATGACAGATGAAAGACAAGAATTTAACAAGACTCCTTCTGCTGTTGATCCAAAGCATGCGATCCTTTGAAAACTGTTTTGCGTTGAAGAGAATGAGTAGAAATTTTGTCTCACAAATGGGGTTTATATGAACTGAAATATTTTTAACAACTAAATGAAGCGAATGATATAATTCCATATTCAGTTTTTAATAACGTAAGCATTTGAAGGGGTGTCTGTCTCTGGTGTAAAAGCTCTGTTGTGATAAAATCGTTCGAAGGGGCCCAGAAACAGAGTGATTCTACCCTTCATCAGAGAGACCGTACAAATATACAAAAATTCGATCTTAAAATGTTATGCGCACAAATATATTTTTAAAAATTCGTGTTCATTTTTATACAATAATACATATTTTAAAAGAATGGAATAAATACGTATGCTGTCTATAACCATGCGACCAAAGTTTTTGAAGGTTAATATATATATAATTTTAATTTCGTTATTTTCCAAAACTCCTGTTGTTTAAAGAAAATGAAGTCGAACATTTGAAAATTACCTATTTGAGCCTATATATCTGCAGATTGGCAAGCTATTTAGGAACTGTGACAAATAGTCATTAAGGAAATGTAGGAATAAAAAATTGATTTCTCTATTTTTTCTTTCGACCCTTCTTCACCCCCCCCTTTTTTTAAGGAAAAAAAAATTGTGTTTTGAAAGTATTCAGACCTAAATCAGTTGCCTAAATAATAAACTCAAAGCATATTTTATTGTTATAAAAATGACGAATTAAAAACAAATTAATTTAAAAAATGCAAAAACAACTTAGTTGGAAAGCTCAAGGCAAGTAAAAATTTTTCAAATGAAGTATGCATTAAAAAATCATTGTGCTGGTTGTACCATTTATTCATTTGAATGAGAGGCAATAATGTAGCTTGCTTATGTTGTGGTTTTTTATTCCATAAACAGTGCATCCTACCATTTAAATCAAATCAATCAGAAGCCCTTTATAAGTGTCATCAAACCTATTATAATCTATGTATAGGCTTCTCCAAATTTCTCTACTCTCGACACTTTTCCCATCCCCATTACCACGGGTAAGCGCAAATCTTTTTTTCTTCCAATTGCATTGTATTGACTTTCGTCATTCGGGTATCAGAAAGGCCACTCTCTCAGAGGCACTCTGTTAGGTGGGCCAACGTAGTTCCCACAGTAAAAACGACAGAGAAGAGAAGGAAAGAACAACCAACTCACTCTACAGTCCTGTACCTGCAAATCTTGCTTTTTCCCCACGGCGGTACTTTACAGTTAGATGTGGGGGAGATTTTCGAAGAGAAGAAAGTGTTGACGAGTGGGATTTATTCAGACAGCCTTGAGACTTTTATTTACTAAGAGTATTTTGTATTGATATTATGTCAATAATATTCATGATTCTAAAATGTCAATAATAATTTAGGACAACTATTGGATGATTTTGTCTGGTCATTTCAACAAAAAAGTTAAATATTTTTCTCTTCCAGAGCCATGACACCTCGGCGAATAAAGATGATGATTTTGGCCTCTTGGTCATGGGCAACATTCTGCGCGATCGGTCCTCTGATTGGTTGGAATAAAAATATATACAAAAAGGTGAAAACTATTGTTCTATAGCATTTATGTTCTGTTACCTATGTCGTGGGCCTAATGAAAAATTCGGCTTTTTATCAATGCGTCAGCTGATTAAAAAAGTCTTCTATGTTTTCTAGACTGCTTAATTATATATTTCATATATTTTTGGTTTATTATATATTTTAGGAAATATATTTTATATATTTTAGGGTATTTTTTGGACTATTTCTTGGGAGATGTGTAGAGTTACATAATCAGATATCAATTTGCTTATCGCGATAAATTTTCAGTGAGGCCATTGACAATTACACTTAATGCTCCATCAGATATCATTTAAGCTTACTGTAATAAACTTTTAATAAGGTCATTTACGGTTTATACTTTTGGTTGTTCAAACAGATATCATTTAAACTCATTGCAATAAACATGCGCCCAATACAAAATTGCGTGTTTGACATTCACGCAAACTAAATTAGCCATTAGTTCAAATATTTTAAAGCATTGGATTAAATTTTTATGGATTTCAACTGTGACCACTTACATGTAGATTCTGCTAAATTCCCGGTAGTTCATTTATTTTTTAAAAAAAATAATTTCCGCATGTTTGAGGGTGTGACATGAAAAGAACACGCATTTGCATTATTCAGTATAAAAACACAGAATTCCGTGAAATATAACAATTGCGTGAACTGTGTTTGACAAGAATGTTAAAATAAGCATTCTATGAAAAATTAATTTACTTTCTCAATCTTGCTTGTGTAAGAAATATTCAAAGTTTTCGTTGTGGATGTGACAGCGTGTTAATGGCGTGATAGCGGGGGGGGGGTATCACCCATGAAATGATGACACTATCGTTGTCATCTGACGATTTCCTAACTTAAGCCATAATGGGTGAAAATAATTCATGTATGGAGTCAATGCATCTGAGCTTGGAGTAAGTTCTTTTCAACTATGGGTGTTTTAATTGAATGACACCCTTTAAAGTGAGTATGAAAGCTGGGTTCAGATATTAACTTATATATATGTAGTAATGTGTCGTAATTATAGCTATAAATGTGTCATAAAGTATTCATTAACTAATTTTTTCGAGTTTTTCAACACGAGATTTGAATAAGTATGACATCACAGTGTATACAATAGCTGATACATGCATGTTCTTAATGAGTAAATCTTGATTAGAAAGTATGGTAGTAGAATGATCCATGTGATTAGGGATGCATTTTCAATAAAACGAAACTTTTTCTACAAACAGGGTGCCAGTCAGTGTGGTCCGGATCTTCCAAAAGGTATGCTGTCACTCTCCCATTCTCTCTTGATCACAACCAGCAACTACATCATCCCTCTGTCAGTGATGTTCTTCTGCTATTCGAGAATATTCCGTGAGATACACGTCCACATGAAGAGGATACGCACTACGTCCAACATAGATCTGGAGAACTCGGTGGCACAGCAGAAGAAAGTGGCCACCACACTTTTCCTGGTGCTGGCCTGCTTCCTACTCTGCTGGACGCCGTACGTCATGTACTCCAATGCGTCCGCTCTCATCAAAGACAAGAAAAGAATTCCCCCGATTCTAAATCCTTTGGTAAGGACTTTTTCTCATCGCCTTTATTGAACCTTATGAGACATTCTGCATGCTTAAATGATACAGATTGTCGTTTGAAAATAAGAAGGATGAAGTTAAGTAAACTCATTAATCATCATTTGCGTTACATGAAGAGGAAAGCCACGACTTCCACGGTTAGCCAAAAAACTTCCTACGGTTAGCCTAACGGCAAGGGGACTCTAACCCATGATCCGTCAACCACTGAGGATATTTGAGGTCTTTGCGAGCTGGGTGCGGAATTTGAATTTATCAACCATCGCTGTTATTCGATCCCGGTTCACCTCATAGGGAGGCGAGTGCTCTATCCCCTCTGTCCAAAATATTGAATCTCAATAGGTTAAGATAACGCAATAGTATTTTCGGTTTTAAAAAATTTATTTAGGTAAAAAAAAGAAGTTTTTTGTTGTCACCATGGTAGTTTCATAAACTTTTCGCAGAGTATTTTTTTTTCTTTCCATTACGCAAAAACTACTGAAAAAAAAAACAATCTGAAACTTTACACATTTAAAAAAAAAGTGTTTAAGGAACATTTTGATGTCAAAATGTAAGAATTAATATCTACACAGATGGCTCGAAGATGGAGGCAGGAACAGGAGCCGCCATAATAATCTTTGATGGCACGAAATCAAATACCATCAAAATGAAGTTTTTCAATTGGAACACTATTTTTCAAGCCGAAGCAAGAGCTATTTTAGAAGCAGTCCAAATAGCAAAAAATAACAGTAGAAATACAACAATTTGGACTGACAGTCTATCTGCCTTACATGCTATCAAAAATTACAACACAACGCATAATATTATTCAAAAAATCCAAAGTATTTTAATCAATCATCCACAATTAGAAATCTCCTGGATAAAAGCACATGCTGGTCATATGGGTAATGAAGAGGCAGATAAGGCAGCAAAGGAAGCAGTCACAGATAAAAATCTTACATCAACAAATTTGGGAATGCCCTTATCATATATTAAAAAGAAGGAAAAAGAATTCATTTTAAATTATTGGCAACAACTGTGGATCGCACACAAGTACGGAAGAACGACTTACGAAATTCTTCCAAAAGTTTCTTTTAAAAATAGTAAATGGCCCAAAGAATTAATAATGTTCATAACTGAGCATGGTCCCTTTAGGACATACTTGAAACGCTTTCAGTTGTCAAGACATAAACTTTGCAGTTGTGGAGAAATTGGTTCACCACTACACTACGCTACAAAATGCCTGTTAACAGAATCCTATCACTTTAAAATCCCCATGGAACAAAACATTATAGCCTGGAAGAAACAAATTATTAGTAATAAAACTCTTATAAATAAACTAATTAACTTAATTAACTTCATACAGAATTATGAACAATTTCTAACGCCAAGCTAAAATTTACTACTCTCCGACTAATAATCAATATAAAAACACATCCACCTGCAATGCTATCCATTACTATAGTGTTAAAACCTTATGCTACCCAGGTTATCATATAAATCAACCCATATAATTTCTAAATTCCTAACATTAATTTGTTTTAAATTTTCATGTCATGATTATAACAGTATGCTCAAACATAGTTTCGGTTCATACAGTGAATGAAATTATTACCACTTGTATTAAATTATGTCAACTTTAAATGAAATGTTTATATAATGCCTTAATGCCTTAGCAAACCATATTTAATTGATTGCATCTACATGAACAAGTTGTCATAACCCGATTATATAGCCTACCATCACTCAACATCAAGCTTATGTGCTAATGTACGTACAACCACTGCAAAGTTTTGATGGAATCATTTATGACAACCGTAATTGAATAACCATATATGCTAACTATATATAACGTATATATATATATATACTAAGAATTCCACAAATGTAAATTGGTGCCTCAAATATAAATCCCCTTGTATATAATTTTCCCACTCCCCATGTTTTTTGTATCATATTAGTGTTTTTTCTACATTATCTCATGCAATGTATTTGTTTATCCAGATGTATTTTCATGATATGCTATATTTAACCACGCTTCTTCTGTATAGTCACAATTTTTGACACTCATCTCCCATGGGTCTTAAAAGTCACTAATCAATATTCCATTATAGTTACATAACGTCTGTTTATATCTGTATCTCTAAATAATTATATAGTAATTAATAAATAATAAATGTAAGGATCCTAACGGGAGCTCTGGCGACGTTGCAGATGCTAGGGTGGGCTTGTGATTAGGGACTGACATCTGGGGAAGCGTGGTATGTCGCCGTTATAACTGTTTTCCTGGCCACAGTTTCTCTTTCTGATAGGGGGCATAGGTGCAGAGCTGTGCGCCGGCGTCCATGTCCATGTTATCGATTAGCATTTAAATTGTTTTGTGTCAAAGTTGTTTTCGTAGTCTATTATTTTAAAGAAAATGATTGCAGTGTAATGCTGATTTGTTTTTTTACAGCCACGTACTCACATGTTTGAAAATGTGTAACGCATCTCACTTCGTTTAAATTTCAAATTAGCTTTAGAGTATTCAAATAGTTTAAATTGACAGTTTTTCAGATTTTTTGATATAAAAGAAAATTTAATAGCAGTAAAACAGTAGTTTTTTGCTGTCACGTACCTTAATGAATTAAAAAACAAACAAAACTGTTGAGGTTTTTAAAATTTCGAACTCATTTCGGGGTTATTAATTTTTAAGGTTTTGGCGATTTATTATATGTACCGATTGGTTAAGAAAAAAGGCGTATTTTTTCAGGCTTTTGGAACATTATCTATTTTTATTAAAAAAATTCTTTGGATTTTTTATAATTTTAATTTCTGGAAATGCATTATCTGTATTTTAACTATGTTGTTATGATTTTTTGTTAGTTATGCAAAAAAAAAAAAAAAAAAAAAATTGAGATCGATTTTTTTTCAGACAGGGAAACCGCAATGCCTACTAGCTCTCATTTCATTATTTTAAATTTAATTTCTTTTGCTGTTTTTATGTTGTATACCTTTGAAAAAAGTAAAATAAACGTTGTTTACCGAGAAATGAAATCTAGCTTTATTTTTACGATACAAAAACAAACAAGCAGCTTATCTATTGAAATGGATTAGAAGACTATTATTTTACCGAAAGAAAAAAAAAAGAAATCGAAAGTTATTCAATAATTTAAAGTAAAATTTCTAGTAATCACGACTTTATTTTTGTATGATGAAACGCGGATTTCTCCATCCAATCAAGGAAAGTGAAATATCGCTAAAAAATCAGATAGGGTTCGACTATACATAAAACAAGCAAAAAAAAGAAAAAAAACCCGTCATTTTTGACGGCAAAAAATGAATGGGTCGAAATAAATTTGAGATTCACGAATTATATTTTCGATACGAATAAAATAATCATTTCGTTATTTTACCACGTCATTTCAAATAATATTTCTATCGCATATTAGATGAAACGTTGCTTTTGTTATTTATTAGATTATTTAAACTGACGATAAAAAGGAATCATTCTTTGTAATATTTGATTCCTTTCAAAGATATAAAAACCAAAAGAAGTGATGCCTCATTAAGAAAAAGTAATAGATGTACAAATAGATCTATTTCTCCATAATGCGGATTGTAGTGTCATTTTTTTTATTAATATAAGTGCATTAAAGAGATTATTTTTTTTAAAAAAAACCTTACTTATAAGTTATTCTAAATAACAATCGACTTTGTTTTTGAAAACAATTTCTGATTTTTTGTAAACAAATTTATTTCTGATACGAGTTAAGATGTTCTGCTTTGTAATTTTGGTTGATTATCCCGTCGGCTCTTTTCGCCAAACCCGATATTATTGACAAAAGTCTCTGTCAATGGGTTTGGAGAAAAGAGTGGAATCCTTGACTATGCGAAATGATTTGCTTAGTAGAGTGCAGTGGTACATTTCATTTAATTGCTCAGGAGATAGAGGGTTCGCTCTTCGAATCTCAGCAATGACTGACCTATGCAAATTTCGCATCCAGCTTGCACAGTGCTAACGTAAAATATCCTCAGTTGTAGAAGGATCTTCAAGGGGTCCCCTTGCCGTTGGGTTAACCGTGGAAGGATTTCGTGATTTTTCTCTCCGTGTAACGCAAGTTGGCGGGTTAGTTCCTTTTAAAAGTCCTTCACAAAGATGAATTTCTTCCTACACTTGACTGGTTTCAAAACTACAAGGCTGCGGAGTTGAACGTTAGCAGTCGTAAACCCCGAAAAACAACTGTTCAACGGCAGTTATAAAATAAAATTCATTTAATTAAATGTGTCATTATAAAAAAATAGAGGTTTTTACTTTGTTTTGATTATTTTTATTAAAAATGTTTATGACGTATTTTTACACTTCATTTTTTTTTTGTTATTATTACTTTATTATTATAATTATTTGATAAATTTAACGTGTTTAGAATGTTTATTTTGGAAATTGCTTTTCATTAGAATGGCACTAAAGGATTTGATCATGTTCGCTAGCGTTGACAGGTCGATGGGATAATCCCAAAGTACAGTCGTTTCTTTTTCTGAATAACAAGCTATTTTGAAACCGGTCCCAAAAGTTGGCTTTTCCAATGTGTCAGCTCCTTTAAACAACAGTCATATCTACAGCGTAAACACCACCCTACCATGGCCGGTCAAGCGTACAGCACCGTTTTACAGAGGTCAATCTTTTAACGGCCATGGTTGGAATGCCACGTCATTTTGACTGCAGTTATAGGACGTAGACAGTGCCTGAACTGCTACCCGTATCTCTAAACTTCCACAGCACAATGAATGAGAGGACTACGACATGCACCTTGTTACGTATATACAAGTCGGTTGCTTCATCGGCTGCCAGGATCGAACTTTTCCACAATGTAGTTGTATCTGTGATGGATAATACTAATGGTGTGTTTCTCTTATAGACGTATTGGTGCGGGTATCTGAATTCTGCTTGCAATCCTATCATCTACGCTTTCAGGAGTCCATCCTTCAGAAAGGGTTACAAGGAGATCATGTGCGGTGCCCAGTCAGCCAAACTAAGCGCAGGTCAGACACTCCATACTGTGACTATTCATTTCTTTTGGTTTGGTTACTCTTGTTGTTTTTTGATGTAAAAAGCAGTGTGTTTTTATGATAAATTCATAATAACTGGTGCAACAAAACTTACCTTTCTTTAATTATCAATTTGCAGGCAGTCATTTTGCCATTGGACTGCTGTCTCTTCAATATTTCTCTAATTGCTTAGAGAAAGCACGTCATTCGTTAAGTATTTCGAAATTCTACCTGATTAGAAGAAAGTGTACAAGAAAAACTAGGAAATGTTTTTTTTATTTATTTTTAGTCAAATGAAGTAGGTTAGTTGTACAGTGTACAAAATGAAAAAGTAAACACCCTACATAATGTTTTGATCGGATTTTCAGGTTCTTAGATTCAATCGTAATGGTCCTCTCATCTTTATGCTAATTAACGTGTACTGACGATATTTTAAGTGACGAAACCAAACACAAAAACGAACTTTCTTTAAATAACCATACCCTTTTTTTTCAAAAGATTAAAATTCTTGATATTCAAAATAACCGCTAAGTCGACCATATAGTTCTCGATGAATAAATTGTTTAACTATACGACTCAGATACTATCTGACTGATTTTGAACAAGCTTTGTCTCTTGTCATTTAAATTGTATACTTTCAAATGAGGTACAAATTCGTAGGCCAAACAACTTAAATTGTCTCCGACCTATTAATTAAAATAATAAAAAATAAAAATTATTAAGCATGAACTTTTATATGGAATCATCTTAGAATAAACAAATTTTATTATAGTATTCAAAAATTTTCCGATTCGCTTTGAATCTTTTAGAGATTTAACGAAATAAGCTATTTCATTAAATCTCGAATAACTTCAAGGGATCCAAGCTTACGACCGCTTTTTTTGCCAAAACTATTAGGACCATGATTACCAGAAACATTTAGATCGAGTCTTAGTATATGAAAATTCGATCATTAGATAAAAAGTTATTAGGATATTAACTTTTTAATTTCGCTTGCTTTCTTTTTTTTATTTAGGTTTTTTACCGAGTTTTACGCGGGGATGATGATTACATTCTATGTATCTAGATACATAAATCTATTCTCATTTTAAATGTTAAGGTTGGGTTCATGCCTTACGTCATTTTAGTCCTGGTCGGTGATCAGTTGGTGCTTCCTTTTCCGAATATTGCGCCCCAACAGCGGGAAGAATTTATAGTCACAACAGATTTCATGTTGAGTAAACATTCGAATAATTTAGGATCGAATCTGTGATCTAGCACTCTCTACGTCGACTGCAACACTATATCGACCGTTTTGATGGTTGTTAAAACATAGTAAATTATATAAAAATTAGCAAAGAGATAGAGATTAAAATATTAAATTCAAATCCAATTTCAATCCAATTAAATTCAATTTCAAATCCAATTATTAATCCAATTTCATATCTTTTCAATAGAGTCAGAGTTCTTGCATAAAGTCACATATTTTATTTTTCGCTTGAGACATTTCAACTGTAAGGCCTTTCAACTATAAACTTTTGCTTTGCTCTACGAAAATTTCGTTAAAATTCGAAGAGTGGGTCGTTCATTCATACCGACAGCTAGTTTTTTTTTCTAGAAAAAAGCCCAAATACACGTGATTGAAGCAAGCATCCGCAAAATTAGTTGAGTTGATCAGGAAACTAAATAGCCAGCTAATTAAAGCAATGCGGGTGTGCCCACTCTGTTCCACGGTGGTTACAGAATCGGGCTATATAAGCAGAGGTCCTGGGTTTAATCCCGGAAAGCACCGAAAAACATCTCTCGCACTATTACTATATTGATAATCCCGAACACCCAACTTTCTCACTCCTCGACAGATTGCCGGACTTCGTTCCACGGTTTCGGCTTGATTCGACAAACGAATCACCTGAATTTCAAAAATAATAAACTGAACTTTTCGTAGCATAAAACTAATATAAGGACCAGTGGTCATACATTTTATAAGAAAAATTTACGTGAACACTCGTATTTTTATTTTCACGAGAGCTTTACGGGCATACATTTATTTTTACGGTCAGTCACAAGAACACTTTTTCCTGTCACCGACCGTAATCTATAAGTGAAATTATTTTACGGTGTAGAACACAACATGCGTCGAAGAATAACTCGTTGCACAAAAATGTCCGAAAAAGTTGATTTATACTACGCCCTTTCTTTTGAAGGGCTGAGAAATTGTCAGGCAATTCATTTGAATTACATTTTAACTGTACGTCGGTTGGAACGAGTCTCAGTCACACGATTTATATTTAAATTTTCTAAAGCATCTATTTGAAAAAACTTTTTTTTTGAATAATGAAGTAGGTAATAATCTTTTTTAATTCCTTTCATAACGTGTTAATTATTTTTTCTGCTATAACAACCATTCGCAGTGCATGAGTATAATGTAAATCCTTACAAGAACTATATTCAAATTTTCAACTTCCGTTTAAGATTTCAAAACCAAAATATTTATAACATTTTATTTTAAGATACAGTCTTTCGCCAAACAGAATTTATTTAATGCTTTAAAAAATCGCTCCGTAATATTATTACTCATTTGGAAATGGCATTTCTACTAGGAATTCTTTCCCAGTTATGCTTTCGTAACCAATTTTGTTCAGTAACTTCAAATGTAAACAGACGCAAAATCATTTGAATAAACATTGTTTAATGACTTGTTTAAAGAGAAATGGCGAGGTGAACGAAAACATTTATAAATCATACATAATTTTTTTTAATCATTCATCTTTTTTTTTCTATTTAAGTGAAACAAAACAGCTGACAGAAAATTTTTTTTGTTGTTGAAAGAATGAAAATAAAAAACTCATTGGAAACAAATCGTTTTACTTTGAAGTGAAAGCAACAAAATGGATTGTCAGTCTATTACAGGCAGTCCCTTTATCTAGGGCGATAATACAATCTAGTTATTAGATTCGTTTTGTTCTTATTTTATTTCTCTCAGTTAAGAATTTTTTCTTCTTCTTTTCTTTCTTAAGCATAAAATTAAAAAAAAAAATATGCAAACTAAGAATATAGTAAGATTAAGCTTTGATTTGTGTTACTGCGAATGACAGAAATGTGTGATTGAATGTCAAATTTGGTAAATGTCACTGCCCGATGCCCTGTACGCCCTACACTGATATTTTTTTAAGGTCATGTGCACTGTATGCATTTAACAGGTACTCCGAACACTTATGTTTCTCACAATCCATCCTCAGCAAATATTAAAATATCGAATAAATATAATAATATCAAATCGGATATTACAAATATTTCGGACATTCACCAAAGCGACTATGTGATTGTTGACATTTACCGGTGAAAGTCGACATTCTCCTGATTTCGATCATTCACGGTAACAATTGTATTGTATGATTGTTTTTTTTTTAATTATTTTATTATGATAGAAGGTATGTTGCTATTCATATTCGGTGCCGATCTTCTGAAAATATTCCGTGAATTATAAAAACCGTTAAGTATGTTTCAAAGTAACTTGCAATGATATACATACTTAACCTTAAGGTAGAAATAGAGAAATCGTTATTTTTCAAATACTTTTCGCGAATGCAATGTTTATGAAAAGTAAGGATGAGTCACTTAGTATTTATAGGTCATATGGCAGCTGATGATAGCATGAAAGAAAAAACAGTTTTTTTTTTGAGAGAATATTTTGTACGCTTAGGTTAGAAGACTTCAAGGATGTAGCTCATAAAAAAACGGCAAATCACTGGCAATAATAAAAAAGAAATGTCAGATGACGAAAACAGGGATGATAAATTTAATAAAAAAATGATGTTTAAAAATCTGCTACATTTTAAAAATATTTATAATTAACTGTAGTTAATAATTGATCAGTTTTGTAAATACAGTAATCCTAATTATTTTTAAATTTTTTTTCTAAAAATATTGAGATCGCTCGGTTTACACTACAGTTTCATAACTGAAATTCAAACTATTTAGTTTGATTTTTTTCTCTATCTAATTTCGAAAGCATACTTTTCAACTTTCTAATAGTAAGAAATGCATTCATAATACCTATGAATTCACTATCTATTCTTGATCTTCATTTTATCTTTTCCGAAATTGATTTGTTTTCAGCTCTAGATTAATAGATTTGGGAAACTAATTTTCGAATTTAATAATATTTTAGAAGTCAAGATAGCGTTGCTATCTTGACTAATGCAGCCTATTTGTGCAACAACAAACAATATAAACAAGTATAATGTAATAAATGCTTAATGTAAAAACAACATCACCATAATGTTTTCGAAAAAAACAAACCCAAAGAAACTATTAAGCACGTTTGGAGCTCCATGTATGATAATTTAAACAATTACTTTTTGTATTGTTTTCTTTTTCATCATTGTTCATTGTTTTTGTATAGTATCGTTGTACAAACTGATCAATTAGTTCCAAGAGCATTAACATTTATGTTAAACGAGATTTAATTTTATAGTTGTTAAATTTGGACTTTAAAATAAAAATTAATTTTTATTGAGGTACATTCAAGCTTAAATTTTCATACAGTGATTGAATTAAAAGAAAAAAAAGAAAACGAAGAAAAAAGCCTTAATATTCTAAATATTCTAAAAATAAATTAGTTTGCTACCATAATGAGTATTTAACAGTTATGTTCTATGCTTATGTTGTGTCTAAGTTGGGCAAGTGGGTAGAATATCATTTAATTAAAGTTTTCTAAAGAAAATAATTCTGTTAGTAAATTAGTACTTGGAATTCCACATGTATTTTTTGTAACTATCAGACTTCCCATTTATATTTTTTAATTCATGAATTCATTTTTTAAAGCAAATAGACTTGTTAGTAAAATGGTACTTGGAATACCACATATATTTTTTGTAACTACCAGAGCTCCCATTTAAATTCTTTGATTCATGAATACATTTTTTTTTACAATGCGTTATTTGATTTCGCTGTTTAATGTGAAAAATATTGTACTGGTTTTACCATACTGAGTATTATCATCATTCGACGTTTCAAATACTATCGTCCATGTAGCGAACAAAAGGTAGGAAAACTAATCTGCTAAAGTTGCACATCGCATTACAAAAATGTTTAACCTTATAATCAGATAAAATTGTTTTAAATCTAAACATTAAATTATTTAAATGAATATCTCGTGGATTGAAAATTTTAAGAAATTTCCTTTCTTATGTTAGCGTTCTATGTGCTTCTAAATAAGAATGTTTTGGAGGAAACAAATCTCCTTAATAAGTTTCGATAAATATTTCTTGACATATATTATAATTTTAAAACTAATTTAAAATTTAAATGGGAGCTCTGATAAATAAAAAAATATAAGTGGGGTTCCAAGTGCTATTTTACAAACAGGATTATTTGTTTGAAAAATGGATGGACACTCACTTTTTGATATGAAATAAATTTCAAATATATTCTTAAAATTAATGAATAAATTCTTAAAATGTTTCCGTAAATATTTATTCATATATACTGGTATTTTCAAATGATTTGACACTTATTTTTTGATACGAAATAAATTTCAAATAAATTCTACAAATCAAAAACTAATAAAAAATGAGCCTCCATTATGTTAGCGATTTGTGCTATCCTAAATAAGAATGTTTTGCATGAAACGAGCTGTTCTTAAAAAAATTTTTCTATAAATATTTCTTTACATATATCGGTATCTTGTCAACAAATTGTTGACACTTACAATATACTTTTGTGCTTGAATGTATAAGGGATCTAGAGCTTTTCTCGTCACTAAAGTTCAATTTTTTAAAAAAAATAATGTGTCATAATCTGCTTTATTTTGAGTGTTTTGTCACCAAGTATAACATGTTTAGAAAACTTCCAAAGTTATAGCAAAAATAATGCAGGCCAATATCTGAAAACATAAAATAAGTCTTCTATTTTCAAAATTGGAATTGGCTGTGAATTCAGATGTCAAAATACAAATACAATTTCAAAAAGTTTAAAGTTACTTTTTCAAAAATTTGTTTTTAAATCAATTTTTCTAAATTCAAATATTTTCATGATTATTAACATAATTCTACCGGTATCTATTTCCTTCTGTTGATTAAACAATTTCACAATAATTTCATAAAATGTGTTGAATTTGATTTTTCAGAAATATCTTTGTTTTTTTCCAGAATAACTGATATTTATTTATATTTCAGTAATAATTTATCAGCGTGTGCTATCAATGTAATCAAGAGTAAACAGTATTTCTGTTACTAACTCACTGGTGTAAACTGATGTTTTTTCAGAGTTGCATAATAGAAACGAGAATTGCACTGATATCAGAAGAATATCAGATCTATCTTCATCGAGAAGAGCGAGAGCCATATCTGATGCATACTTATGAATCCTTCAATACTTCCTCTCCTATGCATTCTTCTATGATTAAAATAGGCGAATGCAATTAGACTCTAATTTATTCCTAAGTTCACTTTCTTCAATAAGAGTTTAAAACTCATTACAACTGTGTTACGTCTTGCTATTCGTGTAAAATATTATATTAACAGGTTTTAAATAAATATGAGACCCATTGTAATGCATCTTCGATATTCCGATTGGAATTCCAGCTTCATTAATTTAGGGGCCTTCCAGGCCGAACCGTATCTCCCGCCAAACGCTGTACAAAGCGTGGCGGTAGCGGGTTCGAATCCCGCCACTACACTGGATGTATTTTCGTTCTGTCCTTCTATGTATTGTGCTATCTGTCCTTCTATTTGAGAAAGGTTTATAATCCTAAATGGAGCCAGCAAGCCTGAAAATGTATGTCATTCCAATACATCAAGCAGCAATTTAATACTTGAGTATATGGACACAATTTATGGATATTTATTTTATGACTGAGGGCGAATAAACAGTCAATGTATCGGATGAACGATGTTTGCGTTTTTCTGGCGATTCTATTAGTTTGAGGTCAACTCAGAGGACAAGAGTTATGCCTTCTATGTTAAACAAAGAAATTGGAACTATTGGAGACAATATCATTGCAACCAAATCATTTTTGAATTAAAGAAAAAAATCTATCAAACCTGAATCCACCCATTCTTTGGAATTTATTGCGTCACCACTGTGATCAATACAAGTTGACATGGAATTGTTTCTTCATTCTTTGAAATGGCCACACCAGCTGTAATCTAAAAGATATGGTAATTCGATTAATAAGTGTTGTCTGTAGCAGCGCATGAGCATGAGAAAGTGTAATCCAAACATGGGAATAACTTGCATGATTGTTCTTAACATTATACGTCAGAAACTAGAGTAGCACCATGTAGCGTATTAACACAGGAATAATTGGCATGATTGTTCAAAATATTTAATAATAGGTATGAATGCATTCATTCCATCCAAATTATGGATTGGGAATGATTGGCATGACTATTCATGACATTAGGTGCTATTGAAATTCCGTTTGTTGTGAAATTCTGTCCAACTTACTAATCCAGGCATGGGACTTTTTTGCATGATCAAACTTTCATTGTTGTTACTTAAATTGTGCATGTGTTCATAATATTTCATTGAACCACGAGTCATTTAGATTGGAATGGAGATATTCATTTCATTGTTTTGAACATTTACCCACTTTGACTCGGAAAAATGATATATTTTGCTTAGATCATATGTAATTTACGAAACATTCCTTTATTTTATTGTTAAAAGCTAATTCACCCGAACAAAAAATTAATTTCTATTTGAAAAAAAAAATTCTAACTATCTAAATTGGGAGTTTTAGTTTTCAACATTTGGAGCACATTGTGAAATGCTTTTTAGTAAAAATGATAGTGATTCTTATTGTAAATTTTGGAAATGAAATTAAGTAGCTTTTTCATTATTTTAAATAAAATAATGTAAATTACATTTAGTAATGTAAAAGGAAACTTTTTCTTCGGAAAAATGAATGCGCAATGTTTTTTGAATATATGAAAGTTCCCTATTTTGATGGAAATGGGGATGATTTGACAAAGAGAACAAAATTTTTCATAGCCAAGTATTGTTTCTGATGTATTTTTTCACTCTGAGTTCAATGAGATTAATATTTGAGATGTGAGGAGGGTTGCGATTTAAACAAGTAAAGCATTGTTTCCCATGCATTTTTTCACGCTAAACCGAAGGAATCAAAAGGGATACTTTGCACTTATTATGAATAAAATCATTACAACTTCTAAACTGTTAATTAACCGAATTTTGTCTCATTTAACTCAGTGACAAAAATATCATCAGAAAACGTACCTTACATGTTCAAATAGCTTCTAAATATAGAAATATAAAATGCACGTAAGTACACGTCAAAAAAAAAGTATTTTTTACACATAAAAATGACTGAAACTTTTGAAATATTCATTCTATTGACTTGTGTATAGTTTTGATTCTATGTGAAACATATAGGAAACAATGTCTCACTTTTTTAGATAGCAATTTAATCAGATACAATGAGTATACATCGAAAAAAAAAAAACCAAAACATTGGAAACAATGCGCCTCACTTACCTGTCTAGAAGAAACTCAATTCAACTCCTCAAACCATCTCTCCGTAAAAAAAGCGAAGCATACAGAGAAGAGTTTTTAGTTATTATTTATAATAACGTAACAAAGCAATTTTATCATAAAATACCCTGGGTATAAATTTTTCCGAAGAAATTATAATTATTGGACTAAAATAGTTATTAGAAATTATATTTCAAGCTAAATTAGCAGTATTGAAATTTGTTGAAAATGTAACATACAATGCGGAAAATATTCAAACTGCAAAGAAATCTGATACTATATATATCATTTAATGAAATTATAAAGAGGATTTATTAACTTTAAATGTTTTTCTTATAATGTGTCATGTGTAACGTTTATAATCTTTTGTGATTGCAGTGAATTCGATGAGTTTTCGTTCAAGATCTGGAAGATCAGGTTCCCTTAAATCGGGATTGAATGCCTGTGCACGTGAGTACATTATAATTTGCAAGCCACACGAATGACAAAAAACAGATGCTACTTATCACTATATTGAGTATAGCTGCGCGCATTATCGATAAATCGTGAAATATCGATATTTTTAACTATCCCGACAACGGTATAAAAATATATCCTCATGATATATAATGAGTACGAAAAATATCGACTTACGATAAATATCAAAATTATAGACGGTGATAAATATTGACACACCATAAATACCGGCACTTGATGGGCGATATCGTGATCCCGATTCTGTGAGAGAAGAAAACCTGTACTTCAAGGAACACAAAAAACATTTTTTTTCCCTTATCTTAATTTATATATTGTTATATTTTAAAAATTACTCAAGGTTATTTTTAAAATTATAATTATTAAAAGTGTTTCTGAAAAAAAAGTCTCTCCCCCCCCTTCATTTTGACAAGAAAACATTGTCCAATATAAAAAATATGTAAATTAGTTATATAAAAAAGATTGATATTAAAAATTCCGATATCGCTCAGCATTAATATTTAGCCAATTAGATTTGCCCTTTTAAAGGTGAAAAAAATGGGGAAACTGGAGACGGAGTGACACAATTTGATTACAGTTAGCTTATTCTTTTCAAGTATTCTGTACAGTGCACAGCGCAATATGTTGGTAACTTTTGCAATTAAATTCCAAAACTTCGGCATAAAATTTTTACAGCTTTCACAACGAACATATCAGTTTGTTTCATTTCTCTACAGCCTTTTTTGTTTTCGAGATTTGTAATTTTGCTATTAGTCAGTCATTCGCTGGACACTAGAATATTTATTCCCGGAAACATTAGATATGAGAATAAGAAAAAAATGCTGCGTGGTACTTATTCCTTTGTGCCATAACCCTATTCTATAATGGTTGCACGAATGAAAAGTGGACACATGGGTTATAGAATCAAAAATACTTCACGCGGCATCATTCAGGGTAGTAAAAGAATGTTAAACGTAACAGATTGCATTACTGATGAACCAGTTCATATGAGAGTGATTAACGCTGTTTTTCTTAGCTCTATTACAAAGGAAAACAAAAAAGTCATAGTTTAAGTGCCTAACACTTGAAGCAATTCGATGATTTTGAACTATATATATATATATATATATATATATATAATAAATAAATAAATACAAGTAAACACTAAGAAAGTTAAAAAAAGTATATACGTGTTTCACCGTAACATATATATATGTATATATATATATATTACGGTGAAACACCGGAATCAGGAGAATGTCGACATTCACGTAGTCGCTTGGTGTATATCAGAAATATTTGCTAAATACCCTTATTTCTGACTCTCACGTGAATGTCAACAATCACATAGTCGCTTTGGTGAATATCCGAAATATTTGTTATATCCAATTTTATATTAATTTTATATTAATTTATTCGTTAATTGATATATTTATATTTATTCTATATTTTAATACTTGCTGACGATAGATTGGAAGAAACAGCAGTGTTTGGAGTATCGGGCAAATATATACCGGGCAATGGCACTTGACCTTAAAAAAACATCAGTGTAGGGTATACCGGGCAAATGTATACCGGGCAGTGGCACTTAACCTTAAAAAAACATCAGTGTAGTGTATGCCG